TGTTTGTACAAATTTCCTCACGAGGATATTCGTCTAAGATTCCTTCGTCTTCTCCACTTCTCTTTCTCCCTGCAAAACAGATCGGGGTAAAAGGACCACACCCGGGGGGTGTTGGCCAAAGGCCCTCCGATGCCTAATCTAGGTAAGGTATTTCAAGGAAAACCGGGTGGCCGGAGCCGTGTGTGGTGGCCGGAGCCTTGTGTCAGAGAGAGAAAGAAAGTGGTGGCTAGGGTTTGTGAGAAATAATTTCTGCAGAGTTTCAGTAGGAATTTAGACGTACTTTGACATTTGTGCGTAGCCAAGTATTTATAATGGTCTCGGAGATTAGGGTTTCAGAGGAATAATTCCATAGATGGAAAGGAATTATTCCTCCCCTATTTGGAATTGATTTGATTAATTAGGGATTTGATTTATTAGGGTAAATCAAATCCCTAATCGTGGTAGGTATCAGATCAATTCCTAATTTAATTAGGTAACTCCTCATTTAATTGGGAATTGAGGTAAGAATCAAATTAATTCCCAACTTAATTAGGTAATTCTCAATTTAATTGGGTAACTCCCAATTAAATTGAGTAACTCCCAATTAGGTTGAGTAACTCCCAATTAGGTCAAATAATCCCCAAATGGAAGGAATTATTTGACCTACGGTATGATTTAATTCGGTTCCCACAATAAGTTCCCTTCCGATGTAAAACAAAAACCAAAGCATAAATTCCCATATTAAGGTAAAAGATTCTTATGTCTGCATCTTTAACATTGTGCAAGTCATGTTCATGTATCTTTTTTCTCTATTTATCCATGATTTCTCTGTTAGGCAGAGATCAAGTTTGCCTAAAACAACCCCCCTTCAATTTTTTCTCCTCTCTCGGTTTGTCCATGACTTCCTCTTCCCATTTGCTTTCAATTATATCTCAGAAAATGGGAGGAAAGAGAACTCAAACTGATTCAGGAAGCAGATCATCAAGCTCATCCATTTTACAAAATGATCAAGAAGGCTTATCATTTTCCTCATCAAAAGCACAGCTACTTTTCAACAACGCGCCAATTGTCTCATCCTACAATGACAAAATTCGCCCTATGCTTGATGCCATTGACAAGCTCCGCGTCCTCATGGTTATGGAGGAAGGCATCCAGCTGCCCACCATTGTTGTTGTGGGAGACCAGTCATCTGGCAAATCCATTGTTCTTGAGTCCCTTGCCGGCATCAGCCTGCCGCGTGGACAAGGTATCTGCACAAGGGTTCCTCTCGTAATGAGGCTTCAGCACCACTCTGATCCTAAACCAGAGCTTTCACTGGAGTACAATGGCAGAGTTGAGCAGACTGATGAGGAAAACATTTCAGAAGACATTGTGAATGCCACTAATCTGATTGCAGGGGACAAAAAGGGAATTTCAGACACCCCATTGACCTTGTTGGTGAAGAAGAATGGTGTGCCTGATTTGACCATGGTTGACCTCCCTGGAATTACTAGAGTTCCAGTTCATGGCCAGCCTGAGACGGACTGTGGACAAAACTGGTGAGAGGACTCTGGCTGTGGTTACAAAGGTTGATATGGCACCAGAGGGACTGCTGGAGAAGGTTACAGCTGATGATGTGGACATTGGTCTTGGCTATGTCTGTGTACGGAACCGGATAAGAGATGAAACGTATGAGGAGGCGAGGGCTATTGTGGATCGATTATTTAAAACTCATCCCCTTCTTTCAAAGATTGATAAGTCTATGGTTGGAATTCAGGTTTTGGCTGACAAGTTGGTCCAAATTCAAGCTGTTAGCATAGCCAGAAACTTGCCTGTTATTGTAAAGAAGATCGATGACAAGCTCAATTCTTACCTTTCAGAACTCAACAAATTGCCGAAAACTCTGTCAACTGTGGCTAAGGCCATGACTGTTTTTATGCAGATCATTGGAGCATCCAAAGAATCACTTAAGAAGATTCTTTTGATGGGAGAATTTGACGATTTCCCGGATGACCAAATGCATTGCACGGCTAGGCTGGTTGAGATGCTCAATCAGTGCTCATATCAACTTCACGAGTGCAATGCGAGTGACTCCAAAAGTAATTTCTTAGTGGAGGAGATTGCGATTTTGGAAAAGGCGAAAGGTATCAACCTTCCCAATTTTGTTCAGCGCAATGCTTTTCTTAAAATTTTGCGGGGAAAAGTGGAGGGGATTTCAGTCATACCTCTTGGGTTTGTTGAGCAGGTATGGAATTATATTGAGAATGTGGTTTTGTCTGTGTTAATGAGAAATACAGAAAAATATTATCAGCTTCAACTGTCTGCCAGAAGAGCATGCCAAAATCTTATTCAAAGGTTGAAAGAAAGGTCCATTCATTGCATGACGGAGATTTTGGAAATGGAGAAGCTGACTGATTATACATGTAATCCAGAATATGTATCCGAATGGCATAGGCTCATGACTGAACAAGAAACATTCATCACAAAGATATTTCGTAATTCTCACGATCTGGGACTTGGACCTCACATGGAAATAAATGTAGAGGGAATTGGGATGGTTGAAGTTGGAGGTCTAATGAAGTACCCACAAGTTCCATTGTCTGAAGCTTTCGACTTGAAAATGCGGATGACTGCATATTGGAATGTTGTGCTGAGAAGGTTGATTGATTCTATGGCTTTGCATTTGCAGCTGAGTGTTTCGAACCTTGTGAACAAGGACATGGAGACGGAGATTGTGAGTGAGTTAATGGGACCTAACAATGGGGTTGGGTTTGAGAGGATGATGGAGGAACCTCCATCAATTGCAGTGAAGCGTGAGAAGCTCATCAAGAGAATCAAAAAGCTCAAGGAGTCTAAAGAGGTTGTGTGTAAGATCATGGATGGAATCGTTACGTTTGCCAATTAACTTATTGTGTGATAGATATAGCTAAGGAGTCTAGCTAAATTATGGTCTGTTTCTTGTTAATCAAGGCATTCTGTCATTTGCTGATCTGTTTGTACTTAATTATGAAGTCTATGTGTTTGTTTGCTTTTCTTTTTATGTCTCGGGGCTTTTAGATATGTCTTTTAGCCTACGAACTCCTGGTTTCATTTGATGTGTCTCGGCTACCACTCATGGCTTGCCTTCATCATCTTAATGGAAATTTCATCACTATTGACCAAAAAAAAAAAGGTCAGAAAATAGACGTGGCAACTATAGAGACAACATCATTTGTAGAGTAGTCGTCAGCCCTATATCTGCCCTTAGTTAACTCAAAAACGAGTCAATACAAGAAAATTAAATTTACATTTTTAGATATACATCTCATCCATTGGAGCAAAAATATAATTTATATCTGCAGGAGATGTGTAAATGGGATATAAAAGCGGTTTTACAACCCCGAATTTACACCTTCCCACTGTGGAAGCTCTTAGTGGAAAGAGAGAGAGAGAGAGTGAGAGAGAGAGAGAGAGAGAGATGCAGAGAGGCATATTGTTATTGTGGTTTGGATTAAGTGGAGGTGAATGAACAAAAATGTCACTAAAAAAAAAGCTACGTGCGTGATTAAATTAATAGAAATTGTGACAAAAGAAGATGGTAAAGGGCAAATAAGAACTTCTCAAAAGCTCATGTTGATCAAACAAATAATTGAAGCCCAACATCGCTTGTATAAAAGAATAATTGAAGGGCACAATGTGAAACGAAGACCATAATTTACAGCTATTCCTTTTTGTTTGTTTGCTCTTTTTTTTTTCCAATGAGACACTTTAAATGTAGGTTGGAATCTTATTAGAAGATATGGGAATCTTAGAAGATATGAATATAGGAATATAGTTATGAGAAAATGAGGTAGGTATTGTGTGTTTGGATACTGAGAAAAGTCTTAAGCTCAGAGAATTTTGTGGCTAAACCCTATTCAATACTTTGGGCATTTTGGTTTATTGAGAGTCGAAGGCTTGCTTGTGTTTGGTCGGTCATGTCTGCTTCTTCTATAGGTGCGTCAGATCTGAGCACTTTCACCCATCCCCTTTTGCCATGGTAAAAGGGGGGCCTAGGCTCCAAAAACAACCCCAGAAAGGAAAAGTGGCCTTGGCAAGAAG